CTACAAGGAACACTGTGGATACAAACCATGCCGACACTTGTTTCTGATGCAGCTTGAAGGTATAATGACATAGTGATGCAGGAATTTTTATCCGTTATTTTAATTATTTAGTCCTTGTATATAGTGCCTGCTCATTTTATATTATCACCTGAAAAGTCTAATAAAGATGTAAGTTTTACTGTGGCACTAATGCACGATGCTGTATGTAGTGAGTTGACCTTGGCTGGCTGGCTTCCACTCACCCAGCCACGCTTTCTCTCCTCCTCAACAGGACAAGGGGAGACAAAATAAGACTGAAAAGCTCATGGGTTGAGATAAAAGACAGGGTGAGCACTTACCAATTACCATCATGGGCAAAAGACTCAACTTGGGTAAGATTAACTTGCAGCCAATGAAAAATTGAGTACAATGGTGACAATCGAAGACAAATAAAACCACTTTCCTACCCACCCCACTTCATCCTAGGCTTAACTTCACTCCTCCACTCCCAACTATACCTCCTCCACCCCCAAGTGGCACAAGGGGGATTGTGGTCGGTCCTAACATCTCCTCTCTGCTGCTCCTTCCTCCTCACACCGTTCCCCTGCTCCAGCACAGGGTCCCTCCTACGGGATACAGTCCTTCACACTGCTCCAGAGTACGTCCTTCCATGAGGTTCAGACCTTCAAGAACAGACTGCTCCAGCATGCATCCCTCACCGGCTGCAGCTACTGCCAAGAGCCTGCTTATTGCGTGAGCTCTCCATGGGCTGCAGCTTCCCTCAGGGCTGCCAGCCCCTGGGCACCGCACCCCATACATACCACAGCCCCTGCCTCAAGAGATGAAGTGGCACGTGGAAGGGAAAATATATATGTACGACTATCAGGGTAAAGCAAGGCACATATACTTCTCAAATCTCGAAAGGTTTTATTCTGAAAACTAAGCACAAATTCAGTATTTTATTTTTTTTTTTACTGGCCATATATCCTAACTTAACTGTTATTACCTGAATAACAGAGGCAGATGGATACCTGCAGGAACAGTGTTCCCAGGGACAACATGCAGCCGTTGGTAATGACAATGTCATTCTCTCTGAAAGGAACAGGCTAATTGAGAAAGCAGCGACTGCCCACTGTATTTCTAGCCAGGTCAGAAGAGGAAAGCAAACTTAGAAATACAATGAATGAACAATATATAAAGTAAATAGCAGTAACAGCCTGATTTTTTATATAAAGTGATCTCGACAACAAGGTACATACAGTTGCCATCACAGTTAGTTCTAAGAGATTGTACTGATAATGACTCGGTGAGTGCATACCCAGAAGAGTACAAGATGAGGAGAATATCCTGCACCAAGCACTAAATAGAAGCTAGATGTTTTTCAAATTGATGGTTTCATTAAAAAAATATATATATAAAGAAAAGCTGGGAAACTTCACACAGAGACTGCATGCAATCCTGGGAAGAGTGTGGGAGAGTAGTAACGCAGGAATGAATCAAAGCACCTAAAAAGTGGTTTGAGGGCAATGGCTCTTGTCCCAGATATGTAGCTAACATGGCCTCTTCCACTGTCACAGTGGGACTTCCTTGTGAAGGCTACTTGTGATGGTCACTGACCCAAGATCAACTGCTCTAATCTGAATGTTTCAAAAACTGCTGAGGAAACCCAAGAAAAGGCATGCCTGTGCAGAGCCATATTTGCTTAGTCATAGTCTTCCATTGTGTTTCAGTCCTTTACTGTTAGGTTTTCCTTCTAACCTTAGGCTTTACTAATCCAGTTAGTTGAGAGACTAGCATTTAATTTTGTGGCAAATCAAGAGCTTTAACATGCAGGATGATGCTTATTTATCAGACAGGTGACTAACTGTTCAACTCTTTTTTGTCCCCTGAGGTCTGGTAATGAGAGATATTCCTGGTTTTGACTCAAAATTTATCAAAGTTGATCTTCATTTCAATGCTACTACTATGATTTACTGTAAAAACTAATGCCTTCCTGTGCCACCAAAAAAGAATGCAAGCACTACTGAAATCAATGTGTTCACTGTGTTCAGACATTTTCCTGAACAGCGAAAGCTGCAGTATTGGGGATTTACCCGCTGTTTGTCTAATACTGGACAGCTAATTCTATTAATCCCAATAATCCCAAACTATCTTTCAATTGAGAAAATGTTAGAAGAAAACAAATATGAATTCAAAGTTATGAGAAAGTACCTTAGAAATGGATCCAAATGAAGGTTCTGGACAGGGACCAGGGACCTGACGAATCCCTGTACCCCCTATGTGGTGACTAGCAGCACATAAAAAAACACATTTAGGCTGGACCCTCAAACTAAGCCCCCGGCCATTCAAGCAGCCAGATACTGGAATCTGCTTTCAGCAGTGGAGGCAAAAATGATTTCTTATGAATTGGAGCTTCGTGTATGTATGAAAAGGCTTACACTGAATCCCCAACAGCAATAGGAGCCTACGCTGTGATCCAGTGAGTCATGATCCCGGGAAATAACCCAAATCTACATCACTCTCTGTTTCTTTATATTGGGAATTATCCTAACGAAAGAAAGGTATTTTCAGATGAAGCTTTACTGTCTGCTTTTTAAACTATCCAACTGGCATTTTCCATATGCAGACTCTTCTTTTTCACAGCACAGCTAGGTTTAAGACCCACAGTCAGGTATTTCAATTCTCCAGAATTTAGCCATGGGATGAACTGTTAGGAAGACAAGACAAGCCCTTTTGCTTCAGCTTTTAGCTTTGCAGCCTGTACCTGTTTAGCAAAACACTTAAAAAATCATTTCACTTTTATGCATATATGTAGATCTATTTGAACCAAGTGGAGTCTACACCTAAGTGCTTTGCAATTGTCACATCGTAGCTGATACTTCCTATTTTTATGAAGAAGAGACACAAAAAATGGAGTGAGATTAAGAATAGCAGCTTGTTGCTGTATCACGTGCAATAAAATACTTTTTTTATACTGAAGACTTCACACACATTTACATATTAATACTTAAAAGCAAGTTTGTACTGCTATTCATGATTTATTGCTACTTTAGGAGTAGATAGGATTTCTAAATAGACATTGATTAGACTTTGCTCTTAGTGGGAGAAAAAAAGCACACTCAGTTTACAGCCTGCATTAATGTAGGTTATCAATTAAAGGCTCCATTTTTTGGGGTAAAGAACATGTTCTGAACATTTGTTAAACTCTGAAGTATTAAAGTGTTCATCCTAATACAGATAACAGGAAAGACACTGTTGGTTGAGCAACCTGTTTTCCCAGTCTTCAAAATAATGTTTTTATTGCAAAGGTAAACCTTGGTTGCAAATGTCTCATGAAACAAAATCTCTGCCATTCTCTTGTGAGGCTTTAATCAGAAAGTAATTCAGCACACTTGAATGCCTTTGTAATTTTGCTGAATTTTAAATCTAAGTATCACACTGACTAGTCAAAGTTCATAAAAATGTCTGGTTGCATGTGGCCATAAAAGTCTATGTGTAAAAGTAAACTAATCTCTATGATCTTCACTGTAATTCTTGAATAACAAACTCAAATTGAGCCTCTAGAAGTGTTTCTTCAAACTAATCATCGTGGAGACACAGACTGCATCTACTGCATATTGCTCCTTCAAAGGAGAGAGCTTGTTAGAGGTTGTGAGGGCAGTAGGTGCTAAAAGGAAGCCTGAAAATGGACAGCCAGAAGCAAAACAGATCCTAAATGCTGACCAAGGAAACAATGTCCTAAATCAAACAAGTCATATTTGTTTAGTAATAAGGGAGCTGCTAATTGATGGCAATGTTTTACTAATAGTGATGAACTTTTAACTCCTAAGAGTTACTCTGTTCTTACTTGGAGCATGGCTGAAGTTTCCTCTGAATTCAGTTTGTACTCCTGTTGCGGTGGGACACAGTAATACAGAGAGGGCTTTGCCATGGCAGAGAGAAGAAAATGTGCCAGTTGAAAGACCTTGTATTGTTGAAATACCTGTATCAGCACACAGGGCTTCCCGTATGTGTTTCTCTTACAACTGCTATCAATTAGGACTGGAATCCAAATGTACCAGACACTAAATAGAATTACAGAAAAAAGGAAATACACTCCTAAACTGTTGATTGATGTCTATTCACATGCATTACAAAGCAGATCTGGTACTAACGCATGAAATGATGCAGCATGAACAAAGTGACCAAATGGGGCAATGAAGTCAAAAATGGAACATAACAGAGACGAAGCAAACTGTAGAGTCTATGGTTTATAACACAGAATTCTAGTAACAAACCGTACTCTCAGCTCACTGCTAGAACTGGCTGTTCTCAGCATGGTCAGCTATAGTATATCAGATGTAAGCCTCAAGGAAGGACTTGATAAAGCTTTTGTGGAGACTGTGGAGCTGGTTTTCTCCATTCATAAAAGGAAGAAAGAGAGGGATAGCATTTGTAATGGTGAAAGAAGATTAACTGGCTACTTTAGCAGCAGGAAAATGCAATTAAAACTGCAATTAAATTGTACTTTATGTGATATAGGGGACAGAATAATTGTGAATGATCTGAGGTTAAAAACAAACGTCTTCCTGAATCTTGCAGAGCTCTCACTCTAATGAGACCACAAAATGGGAGCAAAAATCAACCATTTTGGTTTAGCTGGTTTATTTTTTCATTAAGTAGCACAAATGACTAAACGACCAACATGATTGCTTTGAAAAGAGTGCAAGAAGATGCTCTATTGTGAGCCTTGTGGAAGACACTGTACTTGAAGAGTCAGTGATCTTGAACAGGCCGTGTCTGCGCTACTGAGACTTGTTATCAATATAGTCTGTAAACTGTTAATACATATTTGGGAAAGGTAAACTATGTGCAGATCAAGGGGTGGAATGTATTGATCCTGACTGGGAAACCACTGTACACTGCAGCTGACTTGAGCAGGAACCACATGGTCAGCATGGCCTTCGGGCTGTTCTGCGCCGTGCCATACACCTCCTTTGGCCAAGGGACGGACCCAGCCCGTGCATGGTGCTGGAGGAGCCTGCAGGCAGCTCTTGCCTGGCACAATTACACCTCTTGCATGGCCCTTACCCTTATCTAACAGCACACAAGTTGTCATGAGAACATCCTTTAGGGATAGAGTTGTTTTCTTGTAAGGAAATAATACATTACCTCAAATGACCAAAAGGGAGAGTTTCTCTATATGGACAGGATCTGCTCTGTACAGGTACCATGGGCAAATCCATCAGGGCTCTATTGGAAGCTGCATGAACACAGGATGCCCAGCATCTGAAGGAATGCAAGATGTTACTCACTATCTATATTCCTCTTCTTTGTCTTTTTGAAGCAGTTATCTTACTATGGCATTTGTTGTTGGGCCTTTCTTATTGTGATCCAGAAAGATCCCTGCACCATCTCTCTCTTACCTCACCCCTTCCCCATTTGCTGAACTATTTCTTGGAAGTCAGAATGGTAAAAAACGTGATTTCATTAGAAGTATTTTGAACTCCACAAAGAAACTTAAGCATAAGTACCAATATATATGATATACTAGAGCATTTTACCTATTTTTTTTTTTTGTGTACAACACAACCTTAAAGTCACCTATGAAAAGTCTAGGAACTTTATGAGGATGGGTATAATAATAATGCTTGAGATAACCAGCACATCAGTATTTTGCAGCTGTTAAAATAATGAAAGCACAGAAACCCAAATAAAGCTCAGCCTATGTGCAAAGATAGGCTAACAGGTTTTTTTTCATGAAAAATTGTCTTATTTAACAAAGAGCATGCTAATAAACAGATGAAAGGTGCTTTGATTGTGAGTGCTGATGATGGTCTTGAACTCAGAAATTATGTTATAAACAAATCTGACCATTAGGAGATTAAAAAGTTACATTTGGTGAAAAGTATTTGCAACGTGAATAAGCACACGGATCAGACTTCTAATTCTTAAGAGTGGTCTTTGTTACTTGTCATGACAATAATGTAAAGGACCTCAAAAAGTAGATTTGCAAATAGTCAATTGATATGTGGGAGTTCCCCAATCACTTGTATGGAAAAAAAATTCATCATACTTTTTTGAAAGCTATCTGGGAAAGTAAATTAAATTAATTGCATATATGAATACACCAATATTTACTGATTTGTTTGATACACACATATCAGACCGACATTTAGATTATTTTCAGAGAACCAATTCTAAGGACTGATTGAAATTTATTCCATCATGAAAAATGATTGAACCAAGTGCTACAAAACCCACTCACAATTAGCACAGTAGCATTTGTTGCCTCAAATAAAAGGAAAATCTTGCAACCTTTAAAAACGTTTGATCCCTGTTTGATTCTACAATACAGTTACTTCTTCATTGTTGGGTTAGAGGCAAAGAACTGACTTGTGGGTAATCTTTCCACTTTTATAGCACATCACAAAGTGAACTCACATATTATAAAGGGAAGTCCCAAACTCATTTTTAACCTTTTGGTTTTTATCTTTGCAACTTCTTGTAATACTGCACCATAATTATGTTAAATGCCTAAATGGGCAGTTTAATTATTTCTTCATCTCCAGAACCCCTGGCAGTATTTGAATTGTGTCCACAAGGATTTTCATTTTGTTGATGTTGACCTGTGACAGATGTACCTGTTTAGAGCTCAGCTTCTGAAAGAATTTTCTATGGAGACAGATATTTCTAGTCACATGGAATTTTTAGCTAAATTTGAGCCTAAGATAATGACATATTGCTAGAAGGTGTTGATGAAATAATTAGTCCTTCAGCAAAAGAACCCAAAACTGTGATTCAAGATCATGGCAATTAGCAATTTTGAGTATTTCATATTAAAAGTACTAAATGCATGCTGCTCTTCTTATTCAATGGCTACTGAATCTTTATTCAAGCAAATTTGATCCAAAAGACAACATCTATGCTCATTCATATGTCATGACAGATAGATAAGTAACCACCTTCTGCCAATTGTCTCTGTAGTTTTTTCTAGTATCATCCAACATACACGTGGAGTGCCAATCATTCATCTCTCTAAATCCTTATTTGTTTTGCTTTAATTACACTTAGGGTGTAACCATTAAATCATTTATTAAGTTGAAGTTGTTACTTAGTCAAAGGAAACAAACCCTAACATTTTACAAAAAGATTCAGTTGAGTCTAAGTGCCTGGTATTTAGTAAAAAAATGAAGAGTACAAGTTTTAGCTTCAGGATTTTGTCTTTGAAATACACACCAAACATTTTTTCTAAATGCTGTTGATCTGCTAAGCTTTGTACACTGCTTACATAACACACTGGATGGCACTTTTTTATTTATCAGATGAAAAAGAAAACTAAATGCCACTGATAACATATTGTTTTAATTTCATCTGGTTTTATATAATTTCTAATGGCAACAGCGATGTTTTGGATTTGAAAAACTGCACTTCACCTTGTTACTTCCCTGTACCTGATAGTTTTCTCATAATCTGGTTTTGCTGGAAGAAAAGGAACAATGACACAACTTACATGTTACATTCTTTGCATCTGTGGAGAGGCAAAGTCTGTAGGAAGAGATAACTTCTTTCTTTAGAACATCTGATACGTGCAGTTGAGAAAAGATAAGTTTTGGACTTACGTTATAAGTTTGACCATACCGCAGATTATACTGCTTTTTTAAAGACAATGTAAGACAGGACTTACTTAACATAGGTCAAATAAAGTTGTCAGTAGCTGGTTCAGTAAAGCAAATACATACCATGATCTTCTTTACAACAAAAAGCTGACACAGCAACTTCACTACTGCCTGCATTACTTCCTGTCTTTACCTGTCTTTACCAAAGCAATCGATTAATAAAAAGATAAACAGTCAAGAAATAGTAAAACAAAGAAGATTGAATAGAAAATGTTAGTGTCTTAAGGGTAGAGTGCTATGCAGTACTGCATCAGGTTTTTCCCCCCCTTTAAAGATTCTAAATTTAAATTCAACTTGCATGTTATTTTGGTAAGATGATATATTTCTCTTTTCATGTTTCTCTGTCCATTGTTTGGTTATTTCTAACAAAAAACCCCACCCCACAACCTAGTCATGATGCATAAAATCTTGAATCGATATTGGTATCATTTGTATGCATGCCAGAACACATTTAGGTTAATTTTGACTCATGCTTAGGCCCTTTTGCCATGTGCCAGCTCATCTGAGATCATTAAAACCAGAATGTATATTTGACTCAAGAAAATTAGGAAGTGAAGGGGAAGGGTAGCCATTTACAATTACCTGAAACAGTATAATAGCCACACTGCCATTTCTGTGCAAAGAAATAAGTATGATGTTTCTTTTAGGCACTGAATTCTTACAGTATGTCTCAAGCTTTTTCCAAGCAAACTGTAGCACTACAACACAATGGTGTGCAATGCATTATTGAACTAAGCTTTAAACAAGGAACACTGAAGGCCACTGGCATTTACATTTCCAGGCTCCTAAGGGGTACTTTTCCTATGAAAAACACTGTTTCTTGGTACACTGTGCAAGAAACTACATGAGAAGCCAAATTCTGTTTTCCAGTATATCCACAGGGCTTCTCTCTCTCACCAGTTCTAGCCATATATTTGTATTCTAGGTTAAAAATGCACCCTAGCTAAATACTTGCAAAGTTTAGCGGTCACCAGCCAGCCAATAAAAGAAAGTAAGGTTTTATATGTAGGAAATTATCTAGATGCATTCATGTAACATTTCACGCATTTGCTAAACAAACAGATGTTCAAATATGACATCTGCCTGAGTTCCATCCTAGAGGTTTTGGAGGAATAAACTGTATCTTAACCTGAACTGAACCTAAAGGCTCGTTGTGATTGTCTTTTCATCCACAATACATGTAGAAACAACAGTACCACTGACATAAAGACATTGGCTTCTTTCTGATATATGTATTTGCTGTGATTTATACCTATGGGTCCTGAATTTTAAGGGTCTGTCATATGAACAGTGGCATGACAACATTCCAGTGTACTCTTTACGAAGTGCAACTGCATTACAACCAAATAAAATGCATTTGATTCTCCAGCAGTAAAACACTGGCTAACTTCTATTTCAGTGTTGTATTTGACTTCTAGACTGGGTTTCCAACTATTCTGGAACATGACAGATTTCTGCCTCCACCCATAAAATCTCCTTTGACCACTAACACTGATTATTTAATTCTTACTTGGGTAATATAGTGACAAAACAAAGTTGGGGGGAGAGAGGGAGAACCAAAAAGCCTTTCCTAAATTTAAGAAATATAGTTAATAGAACTAAAATTTAAGTAATGCCAGAAAACTAAAAAGCCCCAGGAAAATGTCCTACCCGGAAGACTGGCTAAGGCTAACAGCTAACCAGGATTCACACAAAAAAGGGCATATTTCTGGCAGTGCCCGTTAATGCCAAAACACAAGCTACTTCTGAAAATATTTACATAGATAAGCAATGCTACAGAAATGCAACTCACATTGTTAAGAGTTTCTTCAGAGGAACCAATGGTATCTCTGTAATACAATACTGGTGTGACAAGGCTTCTGAGTCTCTAAGTGTGCATCTAGATGAAAAGATACAGGGGAAGGAAGGGAGAAGAAACAGAGTCCCTGGTTAGCAGTGTCCAGTGCAAAATGTACACTCCCAAGCACGCAATTCGGCAGCACCTTTTCATTTCTTATCTGTATGTCCTGTTGGCTCTTCCACGTACCCGTGAAAAGAGGTACGAGTGCTGCATGTAGATAGAAATACTGGCTTGCCTGAAGACAAAGGAAGTGCCTATCTGTGTTTATTACTTAAATTTTTCTTTTCTTTCTCTGATTTTCCACCTTGCAATACCAAAAATATACCCGTGTTAATTTTTTGTTGACTGTTTAATGGTATGACATAGCTAAGAATTCCTTTTGGAGGAATAAACTACCTTGTTCTGAGCTGAACTCAGTGGCTCAGTCTAATTGATTTGATTTCCATCCAAAGCATCTGTAGGGAGAACAGCATTACTGGCTTATAAAGTAATCAGCGTCATTCAGGCATCCATGTGCACATACATGTTGTCAGATTATTATCACAAACCACAGGTTATTATAAGCTTTAGAACTTACAATTATCAACATGTCATTAATTCTTAGAATAATTCCTTATCGCAAAAAGAAATTATCGTAAGAAGATGTACCTTTTTTCTTCAGCATCTAGGAGTCTCTTCACCGACATGTGAATGGAACAAGATTAAATGTAAGCATGCACAAATATTAAATCCTATTTTTGCACAGGGAACTTGGAAACTGTTAAATGCCAAAAGTATACACACTCATGCACATTATGCTATAAATGCCAAAAAACTCCTAAATAGTTGAAAAACAAATGAAATATTCTAGTTCTCTAGCACATTACCAGAAACTGAAAAATGGCACTTCTCTTTTGTTAAAATTTTTCTTTTACCTGACTTACATTTTACTCATCAGAACAAAATTCAGGTTTTCTAGTTATCTGTATGCAGTGGAACAGTAGGGGGAGCTCAATGCTTTTTTCCTGGTAAATCTCACAGAATCATGACTAGTTTCTTAGCATAAGCAGGTATTACTGGAGAAAGTTTTCCCCCATAAACACAAGTTTTGAATATGCAATGTAATTCAAAAGATAGCTAAACTCGTTCTCAGTATCCAACCTAAAATTCAACCACTGGTTCTTCTGAAAATTTCCCAGTCTCTTCAAAGTTGTACATTCATTAAACGTTCTTTACTTTGGAGTAAAAAATTAACTCCTTGCAATCTCTTTAAATATACAACCACCAAAACAAAACCAAAATTTAAGAGTATTTTTATTTAGAATCTATGTAAGGTAATGCAAAGCCACAATTCAAAAGACAGCGGATTAGGAAGCAGGCTAATAGAAACACAACACCCTGACAGCCTGCTTCAATTATTACACCCACACCAGGGTAACAAATAGGTTTTATCCAGATACGTATTTAAACCACCTTGGCACCCTATACAATCCTCTACATAAGTCCAAAGCAGCATTTCGTAAGGGTTGAAAAGCCTCTTTTCTCTGCCTCTTCAGACAAATGAAACCAGTCATGCTACCCTTTTCCCTACTGATGAATTTCCGTAATTCCCTCAAATATTATTACAGATTTGCCAATCTTCCTTAAGAGAACAGAGCACTATATAAATTCAGTGTTAAGTACAGAGGAATTTGACTAATATACAGCAATCACTGTACTACTACCATTAGCTATTTGTCTCAGACATGAGAATTTTCTCTATTTCTGACTAAGTTCAGGTTCACAAATCATCCCATACTGGCGTAGGCAACATACTATCTGACCATCTTATGGTTATAACCAAAGTTATGTAACTAAAGTTACAATTGTAGTTACCAACTGAGGCTTACAATATTTACCACATTTTTACTCCAGTATGTAGCTAAGTGCCTCCATTCCTGCAGAAGTATCAAATAGAAGCCAATTATTTGCTATCTTCTAACTCAGTTTTCTCCACTATTTTAAATACATTTGCAGGAACCCAACTTTCCTCAAGTATTTGCGATGGCTTTACATAACACTTAAGGAGGACCATTTTTTCTTAGTACTACAAGCTTTTCTAATGGATACTCATGTGGAGATGGAAAGATACCTGCAATGTTACTGTACTTCCACTTAAAGGAAGACATTGATTAATCGTTGTCTTAAGATCCTTCTCTGCACTCCCTTTAAAACAATAAAGACTGGAAATGGTCACCTGATGGACTTTTGTTATAATTTTATGAAATTATATATAGCAATAAAAATAATTTAATTGCCCATCCAAAAATGCAATTGACCAGGTCATAATTTTTATCCTTATGTCACTTATCACTCAGATGTTTCCTTTTGTTTTTCATTAAGAGACTTTGTGGTAATGTGCAAAAGATATTGATGCTCCTATTAATACAATATATAAAGCATATACAAAGTACAGGATTCATTACTGAAGCTTCCAAATTCTTGCAGTGAATTTGTGTTTCAATTGCATATTGAAAAGGCAGTTTTAAGAAGTACTTTTACATGAAAGGGAGTATTTATTTTCTGTTCATATTCACTGGAAAAATACCACATTGACTCATGATTTTACATACTCTAACACTATATAGGGAAGTTCTCTGGAAAGAGGTGTTTGCGGTATCCTAGCTGTGAAGTGGCAGTCTGCATTCACAAACAAATTAATTTTTGCATTGAATTTTCTCCATTTACATCTGTTTGTTTCTATGTTTGCTACCTTCTAAGACCACCAGGTGAAAATACAGACATAAACATGAGAGTGCTAAAATGCACTGACCCTTTAAATCTTTTGCTAATGGCAGACTCTCCTTGATTTATGGTGTTGAATGATAGCTGAATCTGTGATGGTAGTGCGTGGCGTCTACTGGAATTGCACCAAGAGTATCCAATTATTATTAACTCTGCTATGGAATTATTCAGGCAGAACAACCGAGAAATGTTTTTTACTTCCGGTGCTGTTGTAGTGGTCATCACTTTATATTTACAGTTGCATAAAGTGCATTCTGTGCTATGAGTATTCAATCCCAGCTGGAACACTTTGCTTGCACTGAAATACAAAAACATTTTTGAAAACCGCAACTCTTACTGCATACCCATCTTTTCAGTAGGCATTGCTCAGGTAATTTAACCAAGGAAATGACACAACGCAAGATGGTAATTTTTCCCTTTACATACTAAACTTTGGTGTAAAGTTGTGAAACGTATTGTGGCGTGCTTTGATTTCAGTTTTGTCTCCCATTATAAAATTATGGCCAATGAGATCGTTATACATAGCTCTTCTGGTGACAACACGTCTTCTAGATACGTTGGACTGCAAAAAAACCACCTCAGCTGATACACCCTTTGGATGATGGAAGGAATTATGAATAACACTTCCCAATGAAATACTAAAAGAACTACCTCTGTCTGGGTACTGCATAACTCTTGTCTCCTTGTCTTGGTGACACAGAAAGAAATAAGGTGGGAATGCTGGCCTACCAGAGTATTCTAGTGGTTAGACTGTTCCCAAGGATGTACGATGAGATATTTGCTGAACAAACTGGAGCCTTCACAGCATTACAGTGCATATGTTGAACATACAAGAACTAACAGCAAACTAACTCAGGAAAAAAAAGAAAAGAAAAAAACAATGAAGAGGAACAGTTCCACGCACAGTTAAGGAGTTCAATCAGCCAGTGAGGGCCAGGGCTGGCAGAGGAGAGGACCGAGAGTGAGACGGCGTGGTGCAGGGGGGGGCATTGCGGGGTGACGGAGGGCAGAAGTCTCCATCTGCCTCTTCTGTCCCACTTGCCTGCACTGTGAGCACCAGGGCCTGCTGCCCACGGCAGCCATCTCTCCCACAGGGGCTGCTGCCCACGGCAGCCACCTCGCCCACCGGGGCTGCTGTGCCCACAGCGGCCACCTTGCCCACCGGGGCTGCTGTGCCCACGGTGGCCATCTCGCCCAGGCTGCTGACCATGGCGGCCACCTCGCCCACCGGGGCTGCTGCGCCCACGGCGGCCATCTCGCCCACCGGGGCTGCTGCCCACGGCGGCCATCTCGCCCACGAAGTGTGCTGCTGACAGGAGCCATCTCACCCACGGCGTCCTAGCAGGGGGCCTCTGTGTCACCCTCGTCCCTGCAGTTGCCATGGGCACCTTCCCTCCCCTTCAGCCTCTGCCTGCCCTCTCCAGCCGGAGGAAGAACAAGCTCGGGACAAGACTTCAACCAGCCCCGAGCTCAACCTACCACGGGTCAGCACGGACATCTGGAGAGGAACAGCAGGCCGCGAGGTGTTATTTTACGGAAAATTTTCTCTCATCCCCGAAGGGCGGTTTCTGGAAGCGGCTGTGTGGCACTGGAGGGCGGCGTGGCGAGGGGCCCTGTTTTCCGGCGCGGCA